TAGTTTGCTGGGCTTCTGAACACAGGCAAGAGGAAAACTATAATGATAACTAAACACACAGCCAAGTTGCTACAGGTTTTTATTTAAGTGATTAAGAACAGTCTCGTGCACATAGTAACTTGCCTGTAAGTGGCTTCAAGAAAAAAAGTGTAAAAAATAATGAAGTTAATATAATGCACATTACTTGGAGGAAAACATACACTCTGGAGCATGTCTAACATTTAAATTACAGTAATCTTGCATCTTTTATTGACTCCTAGCAAACTAATGAAAAAAAAATACAAATAGGAGAGTTTTATTATAAATATGATCACAACCAGAAGTGCTGCTTTGCATTTTCAGCAAAAGGGTTGGTTGCCTTCATGTTCCTTTCATCTAGCTCAGGCTTAGAGTGCAAATAGCAGTGTGAGCTAGAAATAGACCCAGCTGTAATAACCAAGCCCTTTTGTTTAAGAGAGAGAGCTTTATATGAAATAAAACCCCCTCTGTCTTTGGGGTATATGAAATTCCTGCCTCCTTGGAGGCTGTGAAGCTGTGAGCATTTCCAGGAGGAGAGTTAGTCATGTGTGTGTAATGGGGCAATTTGTCATTGCCAAGCTCGTAGGTGGGACACACCTCGGCATGAGAGAGATGTGTCACCTGCTGGGTATGAACTTGAATCTTTTAATTTCATGGTCTTGAATATGATATCAGCTAGTGAAGTGGAGATCAAGTTAGCAGGGGACTGACTTCTCTGCCTTATCAACCTTGGTTGTCACCTCTTTTACTGCCAAAGAAAACCAGCGTTGGTGTTTGAGTGGAGGGAAGTTTGTGTTCTTGTCTTGTGACCTGCTGTACTCCTGTGCTGGGGAGATGACTAGGGATAGTGTCTTGTCAGTAGTGTCTCACTTCTAATTACATGAAGAATAATTCTCTCCTTCTTATTCTTTACATCAAGAAAAGGACTGATGTTTTTTAGTTCACCTCTGTATACCCTTAAAACTCTCAGCAACATTTTGCCAAAAGCCGCCTGTATTCTGGTTTTCTGGCAGTTGTCAATTCTCCCACATTTACCATTTCCTGTGACTTAGTAAGAGTTCCAGCTCAGATTGTACCTTATAATGTGTGCAATTTTTATGTCTTAAGAAGTTTAAATATTCCTTCTCAAAAAATCCTCAACACCTCTGGCTTTCCCATCACTATATTTTGTCCAATTCTTTACCCTAATATTTAGCACAAAACGCATGTTGGTAGTAAATCCAGTGTATTGGATTTTTTATCTCTTATTTGGGAACTGCTGAGTTCCAGGAGGAACTGAGTAGATTGAGGAGTATCATGGAGTGCAAGAGATAGACAGACAGGCAGCTGGAATCACACCCTGCCTTCCCTGGGGGAGGCCCAACAAGCAGACAGGATGCATGATATGGAGGATTCCCTATCCTCGCTCTGCCTGGCTGAACGCGGTGCCTGAAGAGATGGGGGCAGTGGTGGCAAGTTCCTGCCCAGCGCAGCAGGCACATCTCATCTGTGACTGTCCCACCTTTCCAGGTGCCCCGGCATAATAGGTGTGAGGCTCTCCCAAGTTAGAAGCGATAGGACAAGCGATAGGACAAGAGGAAATGCCTCAAGTTGTACCAGGAGAGGTTTAGATTGGATATTGGGAAAAATTTTCTTCACCAAAAAAGTTTTCAAGCACTGGAACAGGCTGCCCAGGGAAGTGGTTGAGTCACCAAACCTGGAGGTACTTAAAAGGCATGTATCTGTGGCACTTAGGGACATGGTTTAGTGGTGGACTTGGCAGTGCTGGGTTAACAGTTAAGCTCGATGATCTGAGAGGTCATTTTCAGCCTTAACAGTTCTATGATTTTACTTCACTGGAAATGAGGATAAAACCAAGATTTGTATTTTAATGAGAAAATGCCAAAATTTCCCTCTAAGATTTTTGATTTTTCTATTTCACTAATCTGCTTCTAACTAAACAATCAAAGCAGGTTTGGCAATGTGAGCCAGCAGTGGATTTCTCTGAGGTCTTTGATTGCACTGTCACTGCAATGAGTACGTGGGTGTAGTCTCCAAATTAAGCTTTGGTAGGAGCTGATTTTTACAGTAGCTAAACGTTGACCCAGCTACCACCTAGCTTGTGTGAACTCCAGTATCTGTCAAACACAATTTCTTCTTTTTTGCCATGTCTTACTATTCAGTTTTGTAAATCTTTTGTTTTCTTTTTTGTTTATTAAAGGAAACTAAAATGCATTTTTAGTAATTGGAATACATTTTTTTCATAGGACTTTTGGGATATTTCATTGTCTGATTTTTCTTTGTTTACATTGTTATATGAGTGACAGGATAACATGGAGATAAAGCAGAGATCCACTTGTTTTTTTAATAAATTTCAGAATATTGAATGGATTGCTTGGCAACTTTTCTAGAAAATCTGCATTTTGAAATTACAGCCATTTCGCTGAAGTCAGACACATGAAGATATGTTAAAAAAGACAGTATGGTTGATGAGGATCTAGGAGGAGTGGGTTTTGCTCAATGTTCACAAGCAACACGTTGTTTTAATCACGTTGCCTTGATTGTGCTTCATAGCTCTGCCATTTATTAGTCCTTGAGGCAGCTTGTGCAGCTGTAACTGAGGTTTGCTTGAATGGTGGTGTGTCTCATGATGAAGACCTACCAGCTGCCAGCATCTTGGATCAGCTTCCAGAGGTTGCTGAGGCATAGCAAGCCTGCAGTTGTGGGTAGCAGGAGGGCACCACCACAGAGATTCTTCACCAGATTTCATCTGTAGCTTTTAATTTCTGAGATCTCTTTCTGTCTTTTTTCTCGGTGACACATAAGCCTCCTCTTGCAAGCAAAGTAAATGAGAAAATTAAAGAGAAACTGCCTAAAGAGATATACTTACTCTATGAAAATTCAGCGTGGTGATTGGCTGTGTAAACCTGAGTGACAAGCTGGAGAGGAAAAAAAAAAAAGCAAACCTGCAGCTGTTTGGGATTAATAAATGTGTGTTACACAAACAGCACTTCAGGAAAACAAATGAGCTTTAAAACAAGCATCAAATAAAAAATTCACATGTGTTAATGAAATGAAGAAGAAGGAGTAATATTTGTGTTTTCTAAGCACATAAAAAATCCGACCTAAAAAGAATATATGTGATGTCTCATGCTGCTCAGTCGGGATTATTAGCCAGCACTAAGCTGTGCAATCAGTTGAAGCACAAGGTTTTCATCTCTGGATGCTTGAATTATTCTTAATATTTTTCAAAATCGAAATTGGGTCATAAATGTTTTGGCAATTTCAGATTAGCAGCGCAGGGGGTGGAGGGCATTATAAAACATGCCATGTGATAGAACAGTTGAGTGCACTGATTCCTAGGCTGTGCAAGTAGATAGAGCCAAGTGGGAGAGCGCCTTCACATCAGGAATGAGCGGTGCTGGCTCTGCCGTAAGAGTAGTATCCTGCACAGTGCCTGCCTGTGCCATGCGTGACTAGCTGATTATCTTGGTCCTCCATGGAGTCCCTGACAGCCCTGTATGCACTCAGCAGACACTTTGAAAACATCACCTAGTCAAGAATCAGCCCTGCTCACTAACAGAGGTCTAACAGAACCAGTATAAATACCTCCTAAATAACTCCTGGTAAGGTCTGAAAAATGTAAGTGTCCTTGGTGAAGACCACCCTACTAAAGAGAAGGGAGAATACAGGAGGAAAGCACAGATTAGACATGAGAGAAAATTATCAGAAAAAGAGAGGAAGGATTGTTCAGTGCCTGCATTACCTTGAAGAAAAATTTCAAGATATAAGGGGGGAAAAAAAACAACACCGAAACAGAGATGATGCAGTAAACTAGGCTGTTTAGCTGGCGTATTTAGTTAGCACATATTCTATCTCAGGATGGACTCAATAAGCTAAATAAAAAGTGTAGAACAGAAAAATAACTAAAAAACATCCCCAAAACATAAAAGCAATCATATTTTTAATGCTAATGTTTTTGTTAAAATAACAACAAGTACAGTCATAGTGAACAGTATTTTTAAGACTTGGTGTTACCTACACCTCATTAAGTTAACTTGCATTATTCTGTCATCCATTTAGCAGCTGAAACAAATGGTTTTATGGAAATCATGAAAGATTGCCCAGCCCAATGCTGAGCCAACTGCAAAAATTGGCTGAAATGGTTTTAAGACTGAGCAGACAATGGGTGACTTTCCTGTAATTGTGTTTTGGAAAACAGCTGAATTGGTTTGGCTTCAGCTTTCAGAAAAGAAGAATGTGGAAAATCTCAACAGGAACTGTTCTCTGTAGCAAATACACAAAAAAAGTGGACATGGAGCATTGAAGACTTAAGGAACAATTTTAACCTTCTCTAAAATTGTTGTGGCTTCTGTTACTGTTATTATTTATAACCAAAGTAGCTGTACTATTTTTTTTCATCGTTTAGACTCTCTGATAGTACTTATTCACTTATTTATCTGTACATTGTTTTGCTACACACTGCATTGTGCTGCTCACAAATGCTGCAGAAAAAGGTGATGAATGATACTGCTCAGATGTATAATGCCTTCTTAACTGGAGTGTGATGAATTTAATAATTCTAATGAGTCAAGCTTTTTTTGAATGTATGGGAAATAAAGAAGCTTTTTTATCTCCTGGGATGTATGATGTTGAATTAAGTTATTGGCTTTTCTGTAAAATGAAGTCAGACATAGTGTCATGTGTGCTCAAAATGCTGACTTGTTTAATAGATTAAATGGTGAAGTAATGTTTTAGACACAGACAAGGTCTTGAGCTCTTATAGCCTGTTTATGGTTCTTTCCTAACTGCCCTTGTGATAATGAAATGCAGGGTGATTATTGAAGTTTTTCTCTGTTAGATTACCTTGTTAACCTGGCACTCCAGCAAATTGTCATACTCTAGCAAAAAGACAGGACATTATGCAAAAGAGTACTTCAGCTCACAAATCTGTTCGGCACACAAGCACGCTGTGGTTTTCATTTTATTTTACTGTTTTTTAGGATTGCATTGATGTGGGTTGGTGGGAAGGAGAACTCAATGGCAGACGAGGTGTGTTTCCAGATAACTTTGTCAAGCTTCTTCCTTCTGATTTTGAAAAAGAGGTAAGCAATGTATTCTTTCATTTCCACTTGAGAATTCAGAATGAAAGTAGAGTTGAAAGAAATACTCTTTCAGATATTTGGTTTTGACAAAGTTTTACTTCTAACTTAATAGCATAAAAACATATAGGAAACAAATTTCTGAGTTAAAAAGCATCCATGGAGAGAATGTGTGGTGCTCAAAATCATATTATGGAGTTTGATTTGACCATCCAGTCACCCCACTTCCACTAGTGTCCTAAAAGTTTGAGAGAGAGAGGAATTGGAGGTCCCAGGACTGTGTCATGTGATATAATGGCATCCAGAATTCTTAATCTTCTCCATTGTATTTGTGGTGGAATAAGAAAAGTTAGTGTACCATCTGCATGCTGATGGACAGCAGTTCAAGCACTGTTCCAGAAGAAAAAGGGTGACATTTTAACTGTGAAATTTGAAAAACAGTGAGCTTTTGGTATCTCAGAGGCATGTTTCTTGACCTCTCAGAATTATTAAAAAGGAAAGTATAAAATCTGTGCATTAGCTTTTCAGCTTCTATTTATTCGAAAAAGATGGCATTGTTATTTGCCAGACAATATTTAGAAATCTTGCAGTTTCCTGGAATAAAGTAACGGATTCCTTACCCCAAAAGTCCATTCCATTTTCAGGAACCTTTTCAGCCACAGTGGGTATTAAAAGCTGTCAACCAGGCTTTTGATGAGTATTTTAGCGTGACAGTGTCAGCCTTCTGTGATAAAACCAAGACTCATTGACACTCAGCTTCAGTGTTTGGCAATAAAAATTGGATGCCAAAGGCAAAAATTAAATAACTTGGAAAGCTTAATAAAGCAACTATTAAACAATTCACAGAGGCTAACATGATAATTATAGAAAATGAAGGTAGAAGAGCAGCAGAAACGGTGGGAGATGGAAATGCAATTCTATAGCAGAGTGGATATCCTGGCTTTAGGCCTAATAATAAAAGAAAGTGATTTCCAGAAGGGCAGGAATCATAAACCTTAAGATATGTTGAGCCTATTATAGAAGTAAAAAATCTTTACCCATATCCATTTTTTGTGGTGAAATTATTCAGTCTTTTTGAACTTATAAATTATATATCTTTAAAGTATTTTTTAGAACACACTTGAATATAACTGGTAGAATAAATTAGATATTCAGACACTTAGAAATTGCAGCTAGGTTTGCTCTAAATGTGGAGAATAAAATTTTATTAATTTTTAAAATGCCACAAATCTGGCCGCATGAGTAAGTAGCTGGTAGGACTACAGACAGTCTGTCTTTGCTTGAATCAGTACTAAAAGGGAAGGAGATAAATACTTTTCCAGTGATTTTTCAGGTATTTTCTGATGTGATCCAGAAACCTTGGATTCCATCCTATGCTCTGAAAGTATATGTTGCAGTAGTTCTTCTGTCTGTTGAACAAATCTTGAAATCTTTTCCCTTCTCCTTGTTCACTCCCCAGTTTTCCAAACCTGATTCTTTTCCACACATGGATATTTGCCCCAGATCTTTTCTATTCACTGCCTAGTCCCCATCTCCACCTCTCAGGTGGTCTCCATTACAGGATTTTCCCCTGAGATCACTACCTGAATCTACATCACCATCTGGATTTACTTGCTATTCCTACAGCAAATTTCTTTATCCAGCTTCTTTTCCTCTCCCCTTGTACTCTTTGTCCCTGCTCTGTAGTTCTGTTCTCTTCTTGTCCAACCAGTCCTGGTTTCCTGTCTATTGGCTTAATTTCTATTCTGTCTCCATCACCTTCTCAGTTATCTCACCACCTTTATCCCAACACAGACCCTTGTAAATCCTTCTTGCTTCTCCATGTTTCCCTAAGCACTCTTAAAACTTCTTCACACTACACCCATTCTGATCTTTATCTGCCTTATTGAAACAATGTATTTCTCTCTTCAGCTTTCAGGTAAAGTCACTTTGTCTAGTGAACCATAGGACCCTTTCATATTTGTGTTTATCTACATAAGGGCTTTAATTTTAATCAGGAGTGGGATTTGTAGTGAATCTGTCACTTGTCCATCTGTACTTGCTATGCTTTCGAAGACACATCTCAGGGGACATGACCTAGACTCCTTACAGATGAGAACTAAGCCAAGAGATCTGCTAAAGGAGTGCATATCTTATATCCAGCTGCTGATGTATGGACAGTCAATGGGATCAGTCTCACACCACTCCAGAATAAAACCTCAAATGTGTATATTGTACTGTTGGACCTTGGCATCAACTATTTCACCCTGCAGCCATTATCAACAAAACTCCCAGTTGCTATCACAAGACATTCATTGTTCCTGTCATGTTTCCTTTCCTTTTTTTTTTTTTCGCTTTTCTGCATTTAAACCTTTAAACACGTTGTCCAGATTCTTGCAAAAGTATCTCTGAGAGTATAAGGGACTCAGTGTTCCTGGACAGTGGTCCTCAGCAGGCAGGCTAGAGAAGATCATTCTAACCTCCTGAGTTCTTGGCCACACCTTGTTCAGGTTGATGACAGGAGGTGATCTGATCAGGATAAGGTGATAGGAGAAACATGAGGGTTACTGGATGACAATTTCTGAGATTCAAGCTGTTAGGCTTATCCAGTCTGTGCAAAAACTGGTGGGTTTTTTTCCTCCAGAGATCAATAGGTTTGCTACACTTGAAAGAGGTCCCTTGGAAGGGTGTGTGGCAAGGGCTCAGCCTTCACAGCAAACCTGCTCCCTGTCAGGAGTCAGACCAAGATCTGAGAGTTGTAGGGCAGAGGCTGAACTAATTACTGCAAGTGAACAAAACAATTGATCTTTCTCAAAAGATTTGGCAGATACATAGAAAGTAATGGGCAGGAGGGCAGGGATCAATAAGAGTCCCTCCATTTGGTTTTGTACTCATCCCAACATATGGTGAATACCAGTATGGTGTGTGTGCATACACACACATTGGCACAGAAGAAAAGCCATCCCTCCCCTAACCTGCAGGTGAAGAGAAATGGTTCTGGCACTGCTTTTGTGTTCATACCATTACAGATCTTATTAGGGAAATGGTCATAACACAGAAGGTAAAAGTAAAAAGTACAGATTGACTGGAATAATTTGTTTCATTTCACCAAACATCTAAAATCCTGATAACTGTCTTTTGCAATCGTGGCGAGTGAATAAAAGGTAACTTTTGCAGTATGCTGCAGTATTTCCTGTGTTCTGCATTTTTGCATCATCTCTGAGTCTGAAAAAACACACGTCAGGTTTTGGCACAAGTATCTAGGGGTTTCTTTGTGTTTGGTTTTTCCAAAATGGATAGGAATATTTACAAGATTAAATTTTAAAGAGATTTCTTCAGTAGACCAAAGGTCACGTATTCCTCTAATCTTAAGAGGTATGTAAAATGAACCTTCTTTTACCCCTCAATAGGATATTTCAATCGCAAAAGCATAAAAATGACATTTGTCAATGCTATTTTCTCTCTTCAGATTCATTTTAATGAAGTTATTTCAGAAGAAATATGTGACACTCTCATAACTTGTAATTATTAATGTTAAGCATTTTATTATTAACTCCAACTTTTGTATGAATGAGATTTACAAGCATTTTGAAGCAATCTGTTTTCTTCTGTTATTAAATTTTAGAGACCGAAGAAACCACCACCTCCATCAGCTCCTGTCATCAAACAAGGATCAGGTAAGATATAGCTGATTATGTACAGCATATGTCAGTGAGCACATCTCAATCTAAATTAAGTGTATTCAAATTTATATAGAATTCATCTGTATCAAAATTGATAAGGAGATGTCTAGACAACAACTAATAAATCAGAATCTTTCAGGGTTGATAACTGAAAAACTGTGATGTGTGTTTTTTAAATGCATTTCAGGCAATCATCTGCACTATTTTAAAATATCCTGTATCTCCCTTTAAACATGTTAAGTCAGAGCAAGTGTGACACTTCAGTTTTTAGAAGTTTTATGGTTCTGTTCCTTGACTGAAGTTAATTGTGTGCATGTCTTCGCAGTATAGACCCAGTATGTTGGAGTCTGATAATACCTGCAGGAGGAAGCTGCATTCACTACAGATCTGATTTATTCTGGAGACAAAGAGCTTTTCTGAATATCTATAAAATACTCTCATACAGTGATCTCATCTGAGTTGCAGTTGAAGTCTTGTGGGTCTGCCTGAATGCTGGAGCTGGCTGACTGCTCCGGAGTCTATGCCATAGTTAGATTCTTGGGTTTCAAGAATCAAGGGCTACTTTATAGCCCTAAGTATAATACTAAAAGGAGTTACCCTGAATTTGGTTATGTAGATAATGGTGTTGGAAATGTATTAAGGGGCTGATTCTGTTTTGCAAACAGATGAGTGCTAGCAGAACTGGTTTTGTGGTATGTTAGACTGAATTGTGGGTGCATACTAAGAGCTGAACTCACTTTGATTTGTAATTTTCAAACGACCCCTCAATACTAATTTCCAAAAGTGCCTGCATGATTTATTTTTATCATAAAACTTAGAAACACTAAAAGTATCTATGCACTTGACAGTTCTGACCTTGGAAACCAAATTCCAGTTCCATTCATGTAAAATTAAAAAACACAAGGCAGGGGATGCTCTCGGAGTTTTCATTTGTATTGCAGTGGTGGTGGTGGAAACATAACTATGGCTGGAATTCTTTAATCCTTTAAGTCAGATGAGTCTGTAAAAATTCTGCAGCAGCATTAGTGCTTCCCCCGCTGCTGGCACACATTAAAACCAAAACAAATTCATCCAGTCTAGCCAGAGAGTTTTCCTGTTACTGTGGTCTGTTCCAGCTTTTGGTGCTTTAAAAAGTAAATTTCCCTCTCCCACAGTCTTGAGCTGTTAATAGAAGAAGTAACACCAGTGTACAATTTACTGTGAATCAATATGCTATAATTTAACTAGTTTGAATTTTTCATGCAGTTCTTTGACTATAGAATCATGACTATAAATATTTGGGTTGCTTATTGACATCCGTGGTTTGTTCTTTACTCTGTCTTGAGACTCACAAAAACATAAATTTGATTTTAAGATCAGTAACAGTATCCAGAGAGAGCAGTATGACTTTGCCATCTAGTGGTGGTTGTGTATTAACGATGTCTTAGTGACAACTGTTATAGCCTGACATGTTTTGGAAAAGCTCTATAAAACATTCTATTTCTTTCAATTTATACTCCTATAATTAGAGAATAACACTTTTAATATGTACCTGTGTGCATGCAGTGCATTAGCCGTGTCACCAAAGCAGGATAATGTGGCCATTTTCAGAAGGAAAAATGGGTGCATAAAGAATGCAGACAATTTGATTAAGGCCATCTAAGTCTAAGTCAGAGCCAAGACTATTGCAGTTCTTTCTTTTCAGTCTTTGACAAGTCCTGGCTGATCAGGCACCAAAGTTTCTTCTGATAGGTATTGAGAGCTGAAAATTGTCCTATGTTTATTACCAATCAGACATCCTGTATTCATCAAATTATCGCTTCACTGAGGTTATACTGTGTTTTACCACATCTCCATGTTAGATCTTAGTGCTGATAGTAGGTAACAACTTGCAGTAATGTTTCTTCATATTTAACCAGTCACAGTGCGATGAATAAATTGAAAACTGTGAGTTGCAGCCTAAGCAATTAAATATCAGTATCTTGATGCAGAGCATAACATCAGAGCAGAGAATTAGAATTGGTCTTTGTAGTACAAGTGGCATATGTGTGAAAGAGGTGTCTAGTTTGTATTATAGTAGAGATAACAGTTTGGCTGTATTTCCAAATTCTCTACAGCAGCAGGCTGCCAGGGCCTTCTCTGCTGCACTAGTTTACAAAGCAAGGCAAAAACTGGAGAGACAAATTTAGGAGCACAAGTCCCTTATACATAATCATTGAAAAGCAGTGGGCATTTCACTGGGTAGCTGGGATAAGCAACACAACTGCGTCTGGACCGAAGGGTGGGAATACTCTTGAATTCCTCTGGGAGCTGATACGGAGTTCCCCAGAACTTCCTTGCAAGTGACCTTCACCTGAAAGTAAAGGCAGGATCACAGTGCCTGCCTGGGTGCTGATTAATTTGGGGGGCACAATCCAAGTAGGGAGTACAGCTGAGCCTGGGAGCTCCTCAGTGTTTGTGGGCTTATTGTTTTAGACTTGGCCTAAGAATGTCCTTCTGTGTGTTAATGATGACTGTTAATCTTACTGTAATTAGACACTTGTATGTCTTTTTTTCTTGATCACACTACTGTGTGCAAGATTACCAGTATGTTGACTTGTGTTTTACATATCTTGCGTGTAGAAAGGTTTTAACTGGTTTGCAGCAACAGCTTTGCCTCTCAGGAGTTAAGTATTGTTCATAGAATCATTTAGGTTGGAAAAGAGCCTTAAGATCATCAAATCCAACCATAAAATGTGAATTTAGTATTATTTATTGACAAGATAAGTGGTACAACTGCTGTCCAACAGCACATTTAGGTAAAGCAACAATGACTGCTGATCACTGCTGAGCACTGGTTTCTCGGAACCAGCTGCAGAAGGGAGTTGCAACAACACATTTAGAAAATGTAAATGTACTTGAGAACTGCATATAACAGAATAGACTGAAGCAAAAAATTGCCCTGTGTTCCCTGCCCTGCCTCCTCTGCTTTTCTTGGATTTCATCTACTGTAATTTTTATTGAGATACTAATAGCATTACCTAAAGGGGTTTTCAACACTACAAAGTTGGAAATGGCATTAGCACCTAGTGGTGAGCCAATGCAGCAAAGCCAATATCCAGTCAAGTATTTCTTATAATATGAGAATAATATAATATAATATAATATTATATCTTGCATGTGCCAGGAAATTTTTGCAAAGTATTCCCATTGTTGATGCCACAAGTTTCCATATTCCCTGGAGCAACAGAAGTCGGTATGTCAGGGCCACTAGTACAGAGGCAGAAGGTAGCAGGAGCCTACAGCTCCAGGCCAAAAGCTGTCAATTAAAATAGTCATGCAGAATACTGCCAGCACTGCTCTTCTCATCCTTCTAATATGTGGAAGTGAACAGCTAGTACTAGTGGTGAAAAAGAGGAGGAAATGGATTAACTTATGTAAAATAAACTCTGTATATGTTGCTCTATCAAGTATTCTCTTGGCATTATGCAATTAACTGATTTATTCCTAATAATTCTGCACATTATTGAGTTGCTCTTCGTTTACGTACATCTGTAACGGTAAAACATCTGTCCATATTTTAAAATCTGTAGTTATTGGGGGTTTTTTTCCCACAGAATGGTCTGAAAGTGTTTATTTTTTGGGGGTGCACGGTTTGGAAACCGTGAACTTGATTATAAAGACATAAACATCCAATTGCTTTTTTGTCATTATGGTGTAAGCAAATACTTGAAATAAATTTATGTTCAGTTTTAGCAAGACATTTTCAAATTGGAGAACATAGGAAGCCTAGGAAATTGCAGAATTAAATCTTATGTGGCTGTATATGCTGGTTTGTTGGCTTGTTCAGAATTCAAAATTTTTTTCTTTCTTTGATAGGGACCACAGATCGAAAGCATGAAATCAAAAAGATACCACCTGAAAGGCCAGAATGTCTTCCTAATAGAACAGAAGAAAAAGGTATGAAATGTGCTTTCCTGCCTGCTCTCTGCAGAGACACGAAGGAAATGGAACCAGTGCACATTCTCATTTCACAGTCTCTGTTTTCATTAAGTGTATTGTTTGGGTATTTGTTTCCCACTCTGATAGATTGTGATGGTAGGCATTTTGGAAAGGATCTCATTGTAGTTTATGGACTAAATTTAGGGTTTTCAGTTGTACCAGTCCAGAACTGCTAAGTACGTGCAGCCACAACTGAAGTCAGGGGGAGATTTGCTCTCAGTACATGAAATGCTGTATAAAGCTCAGTGCTCTCTAAAACCCACCTTGACCGAGTAAGATACCCCATATTAGCATGTACTTTTTTCTTAACATCTGTTTCCCTTGGTTCTCTAGTTGAAAGCAGGATTGGTGGTTTTCCTGCATCACAGAGGGGTTTTGTGAAGATATAGTCATTAATGATTATGAGTCACCCCATTATCATAGCCACAAAAGTCATAGGCAAGGCTGTGAAGAAATGAAAAAGTTCTGTCTTCAAAGCCGTGTTTGAACATTGCGAGAAATGGGACACGGTACCACACAGAGCAGGGACAAGCAAATTAAACCTTTAATGGTTTCATTGTGTTCACTGTGCATTCCTAATAGTTTCAGGAAAATAGTTACATCAGCTCTCTAATTGAGGATGGTGTCAAGTTTCATACGTTTAAGTGGACTATTGGATTGTACAGACAAGTTTATTTGTGGGATTTCTTTATTTCTAAGTATTCAGTCTTGCAGCCTTTTAAAAGGCACACAACTAGATGTATAACAGGCAGTTATAATTTAGTGACAGAACCTTCAGTCTTTGCACCAAGGTCTGTTTCTGGATAAATGTCTTAGTGATCTGACAGGTGTTTTAGCAGTTTATTCTGTGTATGCTTACTTTTGGCTATGTGTGCTGCTTCTCATGGTTATCTTTGCTTTCCATTTTTGGATTTACAAAGCCAACTGCCAAAACAGCACAGGAAGTTTAAATATGTTACTGTCCCAGGCTATAAATATCTGTAACTCCTCTAAGCATTGAAAAGAGGCTGTAGGAGTTGTGCCTACATTTCAGGAGTACCGGGGAATGGCAGGAATTGCTCAGTGTGGTGTGGCAGCAGGGGTGGCACAGGAAAGTTCTTTGTGTTGGCACACTGCCTAGCCTGTCCCTCATGCATAGTTTAGATTCTTGGACACTGACACAGAATAAATTGTCATAGGATTAAGTGTGTAAAAATGTCACAGTATGCTGGAAAAGCCTCAATATTACTGAGGACCCAATGACTGCCTCTGCTGAAAGTGCACCGGAAAAGGGTTTATGCCTGTGAACAATAGTTGCTAACTGGACTATTCCAAATCTAATGTGGATTGTGTTTCTGGTGATTTATTCCAAGATCCTCTCATACTGAATGAAACCTAGAAACCATTAAGCAAAACCCTGTAACATTCCCGGTACCTCTTCTGTGTATACAGAAGTGTAATATTCATGGTATATCATACAGACAATGTTGTCAGGGAAGTGGGATGTTGGCATAGTAGGATACAGAGAGTAGAACTTTGGTCCCTTTGAGAGTTTTGTCCTTTCTTTGAGAAAAATCAGGTTTCCTCTGGTGTGGCATATGTGTTCGTGTGTTTGGTTTGTATTAGAAATTTAGAGCATATTATTTACAAGAGTTATTCATGTGTATTGTACTATACATATTCACAGGCATTGTGTGTTTGGCATTGGATATTGGTATCGTGGCACTCCCTAAAAATGTGTAATCAGTTCTGCAATTGATCTAGTTTTTCATTGGCAAGCTGAAAAATTCAGCATATAAGTCTGTGCTTAAAAACCTAAATAAAAGATCTGATTTTTCCAAGGGGTTTACATCCTGCTAAACATTGCTAAATTTTTATGCTTGTATTTTATTTTCATATTTTAACTGTAGTCCACTTGAAACACACTTTTTATTTTCCCCCAGAAATTATATTTCTCTGTTTCTCCAAGTTATGTTAAGAATATCCAGCATAATTTTTTCTGTGACCTTCTAACTTAATATTGTTTCATATTAGAATTTAATATAAGTTGTGCTCATGGGAAATTGTTCCATGTGGTGCATAAGTTCTTGCCATTCTGATATTTTAGTCAGAAACCAGTAAGTTACTAAAATAAAAAAAAATTATTCCCATTCAAGACACTGCACACACACATTTTGGCCATGAGGAGTTACAGGCAGAACAGTCAGGCAGGGGCAAACAAGTGATTTGTGGTAAACAGGTTATTTCAAATAAAGAATGATTTAGAACAGGAGTGGAAAGGAAATGAGTTTTTTCTTTGTATACAGTGTATCTACAGTGGAAGATTTCTTGTTTAATTGTAGGCTTGTGAGTGCAAATGAATTCCACTTAATAATATCTGTGTTCTTTTTTCTGGAAATGATTGATTTAAAGAAAGATCAGAGCAAAAACAGTTAGACTTGCAGAAGCCTTCAGTTCCTGCTATACCTCCGAAGAAACCTCGGCCACCCAAAGCCAACTCTGTGAATAGACCTGGTACCTTGCCCCCGAGACGACCAGAAAGACCAGTTGTGCCTGTGACTCACACAAGGTATTGCTTTTCCTCTGTCCAATGCTTTTGGGTTTAGTGGAAAAAACACACATTTAAAGAATTTAGGTTTTACAGTTTATGTCACACTTTATTTCACAGTAAACTGTATTTAAAGAACAAGAAAAAAGAAAATCCTTGTAGTCACCTAGCTGAATCAAGAATAGCAGTATTAGACTGTTCTTTACTAGTTCATTTCTAGTGATGAACACACTGTTACAAGACACTGCAGAATAACATGGGAAATATCAGTAGATGCAGATCTGCATCTGCACTGATGTGTCTGACTTTCTTAGTTTTCCTCAAATTATTGCAGCTTAGACTGGGCACTAAGTCAGGGCAAAAGCTTGGATTGTTCTGAGGAAGAGTGTTAGACAATGCACATTTCAAATACTGCCAGCTTGGTTTCAGTCTGGTTTTTTTGATCATTTGATATCAATTTTCAGCAAAATACATGTGTCTTCATAGAATGCTCTTTTAGCTGGTGCCACTGCAGAATAGTGCTGTCAAATATTTATGCTCTAACAATGGTTGTTCCTCTACAGTTACATGATACAAGGTTACAGCCTTTGAGGAGCACTGAGAAATAGGACTTGCCAACACAACTCCGTTTATTGCCTGCTAGAGCCGAGGCTGCAGAAATTAAAGGCCTCACCCATAGTCCTAATCAAGTCTAGGTGGCTACATTTTAGTCATCAGTACCTGGGTTGTGTGCTGTAGACTTCTTTTATGCATAGTGAATAGAGTTAGGTGAAAACCACAATAAAAGCAGTTGCATAAAATGGGCAAGCTGTACATGTTGCAGAAATACTACAATATAGGGATAGAAATAATTTTACTATTGCATTGTTAGGAAAATGAGCTGCCATTGAACTACTGGAGTTCACATATAGTAATGGTGAATTAAATACCAGAATCAAGTATAGGTTAGAGTAAAATTAAATGCTAGACATAGATTCCCTTCATTCCTCCACATATGGTTCATTAAACAAACGCTCTCAGTGTGAAATCTGAGGCACATGAAAAGAGAAAAAGGCACCTGCCTTGTGCACCCAGTTTCATCTTACTGAAGTCCTTTGGCTGTACATCAATGAGAACTCACCCTTCTATCCAAGTGCTACTGCCATGGCTTCTTTTGGACTTGGCTTTGAACATGCTTGCCCAGTTATTCCAAAACAGAGTCCATACCTGCTGGTCACTTGGGCATGCTTGGAAATGCAAGTATTTGCTATGATCTTTAGCTAAGTGATCTTGGCAAGACCAATACATGCCCTAGTGTTCAGTTCACTGGCGAGTCATGCAGTGGGGTAGCTGTTCTTTTGTTCTATCCTTTGCCTGAAATATTTTTAACATATAAATTTTTTAGCATTTAGAGTTTTGGAGGGGTGTTTTGTTGCTTATGTTTTCCTTTTTTTTCCTAAGTACAAAATTGCATAAAGAAACCATGTTTTTTAAAGATATTTCAATTTTCATGTTATCAAAGGGAAAAGGCAGACCTAAACACTAACGCTGTTATGCTCTTAATTGTCCAAACTCTGCTGTGTCTAGCACAGAAAAAAATGGTTCATTATTTTATCTAATACCATTATATATGAAAGAATTTTACTTGTAACAGTAGTTAGATTAAAACTTACAAGGAAAGGTGATTTTTAAGGTGATGATGATGCATGTTGATCACAGTGCTAGCAGTTTCCCTATTAATTTCTTTATCAGCTAATTCAAATTAATGGATATATCTCATATAACTGTTTTGCCTGGTGAGCTCTAGCTTCTAGATGTGTATTATAGGAAGAGGGCAGAAAGTTCACATAATTAAATAGTCCATTGAATAAACTTTGAATTGCTTGGATAATTAAGATACGGGAAACTTCAAAAGGAAGCAGTGACTTTACAAGTAAGGTGTTTTGTTTTTAAATTGGTTCAGTTTAATAAGATAGTAATTATTTTAAGACCTACTGGTATCCATTCCCGAAATCTGAAAAACTTCAAGCAATTAGAATAAAAACTGAACCAGCAGAATTTTTGCTGGTTGTGGTTTAACCCTGATGGGCAGCTCAGCCCCATGCAGCTACTCACTCCCCCACGGTGGGATGAGGGTGAGAATCAGAAGGGCAAAAGTAAGAAAACCTGTGGATTGAGATAAAGGTCAACAGGTAAAGTAAATGATGCATGTGCAAGTAAAGCATAGTAGGGAATTTGTTTTCTGCTTCCCATGGGCAGGCAGGTATTCTGCCATCCCCAAGAAAGCCAGGCTTCATCATGTGCAGTGGTGACTTGAGAAGACAAATGCTGTAACTCCAGACATCCCCACCTTTCTTCTTCTTCCTCCAGCTCTATATGCTGAGCATGATGCCATTTGGTGTGGGACATCCCTTGGGTCAGCTGTCCCAGCTGTTTCCCCTCCCAACTCCTTGTGCACCCCACCCTCCTCACTTGGTGGGGCCATATGAGAAGCAGAAAAGGCCTTGTCTCTGTGAAAGCACAGCTCAGTAATAATGAGAACACCCCTGTGTTATCTATGCTATTTTCAGCACAAATCCAAAATATAGCACCATGCTAGCTGCTATAAAGAAAATTATCCCAGCCAAAAACATACATGATCCTTAGTAGGGGAAAAATGGATGTAGTTATAAGGTGAGTTGTGTGCGATTTCCATGGCAGCTGCTGAGCCAAAGAGGGTTTTCTTCTGTTCTGAGTAAGTGGCTTGCATCTTATGCATCTCACTGACTTTTTGTAGTGATGATTAGTTTTCCATTTAAATACAATCCTCCTTCACTGGAGGCAGAGTAGGGCTTCCAGGGCAATAGGAGATATAAAAACCACATGGAACAGTGAATAGCTGTCAATTTGCTCCAAAGGCTTCACAGCTTGGACATACCGTGATTATACAATTTACAGATAAGTCAGTTCTCTGGAGTAGGCAAGCCATAAACACCTACACAAAGTGCATCTTTACAAACAGTTTAAACCACTCTTTGTCCATGCTGCTGCTAACAGGGGCAGGTTCCTTCTCCTGGCACTCCATTCCCACAGCCTCCCTTATGTAGCACCAGCATTTGTGCAGCCGTTCAGACATATGGGTCAGGGAGTTGCTCCAGATGGCAATTAATCAGTTTGCAGTGGGATTTCTATTAGTGTGAGGTTTCTTTCAAGGTGATCATCTGTCTGATCAAGCTGACAGCCTATCTGTGTGGGCACGAGCAGAGAGAAGGATACACTGGGACCAAGAAGGGCTCCTCCATTCTTCTCACAACGTTATGAATGTAGATTGGCATAATAAGACTGTTGATTCTTCTGACAAGGGTTGGGGTTTTGTTGTGGGGCTTTTGTCATATCTCTTGCTATCTTCTGTAGTCAAATGATAAATGTTGTGACTTTCAGCCCTAAATCACACCATTCTAAGAATCTCCTCCAAAACCATACTTACACATTTCCTATGCTGCTTCCAACTCACATGGTGCTCTCAGATTGCTGGGAAATATATGTGTGCAAAACATAGTATGCAGGCAGATGCTCATTGCCCTATTAGCCAAGAAACTCTGTTGCCTCTTACAGGTTTACAAATATGTAAGCAATTTTTTAAAAAAAAAAGTTAAAGACTAAAAGATAAAAAACCTAATTGTTTAGGTAGACAACTTGGAGAATACTCTTATTTATTGCCAATTAATACATTTTTCTATGTGTGTGTTAAATGTCTTCTGTTTCTTTCCTAGTGCAGACCACCTGCCATATTGTTAGTTTGCTTTTCAGGTTGTAATCTGGTTGTCTGGATTTTTGTTCATAGAATACCTGTCACCCTATCACAGTGTTTAATGGGATATATATATTCACTTAATCTGTGACTTCCTCTGGGTTTTAATAAAAATTTTGAGGCTCTTTATCGCAGCCTTCCTGAAGTCTGAAATACGGTTTCCAGCCACTTTATGTTTTGCTCATAAGCTGCTGCCATGAGTTGAGGTTTAGGCCATCTGTCATCAGCTTATGGCATCAAAGGTAGAGACCAATGAAAAAAATCAACAAGATTTGGGAGCTCACAGTGTATTTTACTTTCAATGGCTAATTATTGCTGTGCACATCTGCCTGGGTTGTTTCAGGGACAGATCTATATTTTTATCCCAAAACCGAGTACCTTACGTACATCATCACTTTTATACTGGGAACAGTCATTGTGGAAAAACTATTATATTTACTAGGTGATCTGACAATGATGGCAAGTGCAATTTATTGCATTAATTGAACATTTGTTATCACAGTAAATATCACAGATATTTGTTTGTGTGACCTGTGAAATGCTGAGTTACTCACATACCACTGGCCTTTTTTTAATTAACTGTTTCAATAGGTAGATTATTGTAGTAACATAAGTAGCTGTAGGATTGAAAGTTCTGCGAAGAAAGAAAAATTATGTTGCTTACGTTTGACCTCCTGTTTGATTTTAAAATAGTTCCTCAGTATAAAGTATCACAACTCCTGTCGCTTGCCTATTCCAAAGCCATTTCAGACAAATTAGCTGATCTTGGTTCTTTGGACCTCTGGAAACAATATTCATAGTCCAGTTTCCTAAGAAATGTGCAAAAACATGGTGGAGGAGCTGCATTTATGAGTAAATACTGGGAACTGCTAAAACGTACAGGGCTAGCTTGAGGTTCCCTCCCTTTCTGCAGCATTCCAGATAGTCCATTGCTGTAGTTTATGCAAGGCAATTAATTAGAAAAAATTACAAATAAGATGTTGAAGAATGTCCCCTTGCCCCTAGGTTTCCTTCATGTTGAGATGCTGTGAACATCTGAAGAATTATTCGGGACGTTACGGTGTCTAAAATAGGCTTTTTTGACAGGTGTTAAGGAGAAATGAGATAAGGTTAATCCACACAGCATGTCTACTTACTAGAGATTGCTCTCTCTGACATATTGCTATTACTCTGGTGCTACAAAGGAAGAATATTTTGCTCTCCCATTATTAATTGCAAGTTAACTACCAATTTACTGTAACCCACACAAAAACTCCCAATAAAACATCTCCTCTTCTTGATCCAAATGCAGGAGTGATAGTCCAAAAGTGGAATTAGTGGGCAGTACAGTATCCGGGACTCTAGAGAAAGACTCCTCTGAAAGAAGCAATGACATCGGTAAGTTATAGTGCTTTTTACACTTTGCCTAAGAAATTTATGATGTTTCTGCTTTTTAATGGCTTTGTTATGATCCAAAAGGCAGATTGAGGATTTGGCAATGAATGTGAGTGCATTTAGATCAAATTTTAACTGCAGGATTAAAGGATCATTTGTGCTTTACTTAAAATAGTTTTGTTGGGGTTTTCTGTTAAAAAAAAAATAAAGCAAATATAGAATAGTGAGCTACTTTGAATAGGAAGGCTCATTATTTTTTTTGAAGTCTGAAACAAGTGAGAAGGCCAACAGTCATAAGGCATAGTTGTTTAACTGATGTAATATTAGTGCTGCCGTATCTTTAACACTGCAAAAGATTATGGGTTTGGTGAGTTAGTAATCTTTAAACTTTCCAATACAGAGGAGTAGAAACCCAATTCAGGTCAATTGGACTACATTTTACTGCATACACTGATTAAAAGCAGTCTAAATTTGCCTTGAAAATAACAATTTGTGTTCCTGACACACAAACTGTTTAATTAGGAAATCACCTGGAGAGGAGTAACAACAGGTTATTTCTCTGTCTTCTCTCACCCTCCTTCCTTCTCCATTTGGCAGTGCAGGAGTGATGTTTGCTGGGGTGGGTGCTGCAGTAAGTGGCCCTTGGAAAGGAAGGTGCTCTGAGTCCTGTCCCAGGGCTGCAGGCTAAAGCTGTGACAGCCATCTTCCACCTCTCCTTAGAAACCCGCCGGGACAGCTGCTGCCGTCGCTCTGCTCTGCAGCCGCAGCTGTGCCCCCAGAGACCTTTTCTGTAAAAGGCACAACCAGGGAACCCTCCATGTGTAAGTGCTACTACCTTTCACTGGTGGCATTGAGTGTTATCTTGGCATGGTGGTTTCTACCCAGACTGCTTTATTAGTAAAACATTTCTGCGAAATAGTATATTTTCAACAGCCAAACCTGCCTTTCCTTCTGATTTGAAAGCAGAGCTTTAAGTTATAGAGGAATTTTAATTGTAATGTAAGAATAAAATGCTAAATTAATTTCACATAGGTCTATGAGCTTTCCAGCATACGTATGTTTGCCTTTTTTAAACCTTCTGCTGTTGCTATCATTTACTGTAGTAACCTTCTTCTGGAGAAGCAGGTAGTATGTTTACCCAGGTTTTCATTTGGCATAAACATAGAAAGCTAGAAGCTTGTGATAAATTGCAGGAATGTTTTTATTGTAGAGATTACTATAAAGAATGGTATGGAAATGCAGACAAATTCTACCACGTAGTGTTTCATACCCATGTTTACAAATTTGCTTCAAAGCATGTAAGCCTCTGCTTACTTGAAAGTTATGACTGCAAATAGCATATAGTGGCGTGATGGGATTAAACTTTTTTAGGCCTTGCTCTAATTTCCTTGGAATCACTATAAGGATAAAAGCACAGTGTTTTGTATTTTTTTTTTTCAGTTTTGTTGGGTTGGGTTTGGTTTGGTTTTGTTCTTAACATCCCGTAAAGGTTAGGTAGGAAATTTGATTTATAATAGGTTTTGTTCATTTCCAGAATTTGTGGGGGGGAGGTGGAGGGAGGAATTGAAGTTGTTGTTTTTTGTGGGTTTTTGATGTGGAACAGGAGCCAAGAAGAGTCCATAAACCAAACCACACACACATGTTGCAAAGAGTTTAGCTGATGACCTCCTGTTACCACTTACAAGGAGAACCTATTAAGCCCAAGGATAAAATAGTGTGAATACTTAGATATGTATAACTGGATAGGGTCAAGCCAGAATGGCATTTACAAGGGCAAATCATGTCATTCTAGCCTGTTAGACTTGTTAATAGAAGAAAAAGAATAAATTATGATTTTGGATTGAAAGGTGATCCAGAGATCAGAACTGTTATAAATTTTCAGGGGGCTTTTGACAGCTCATCTAAAATATTATTAAAGAAATAAACAGCCTTTTTAAGAGAGGGCAGAGCAATAAATTAAAACTTAATAAGCAAAAACAATTCACAGTAGATTAATGTCTTTTACTGTGAGGAGAGGTTTGGAGTACAGGACAGTTTATGGGGCAGTGTAATGTAGAAATTTATGATAAGTATGTTAGTTTTTTTTTTATTATTATTTACAAAGAGAACAATTGTTTGGAGAAATCTTGTGGCTAAATGAGTTATTAGAAAAACTGATGGATGTGTGAGTGGAGTTGTCCAGTGTATTCCAAAACAAAGATGGGTCAGGCTGTGTGAGTCCAGATAGTATTTGACTGGGATATGTGCTACTGGTGTTGCCCCCATGTCATGTGCTCTGTGGGAAGGACAGCCTGAGCTTCTCTGAGGCCCATCCTTCCAGTCAAAATGGATTTGATTAAATCTACCATTTGATGTCTTTTTAGTAATCCAGATTTACACAGCAAATTGGAGTGGACCTATGTGACAGACATGGTGGGACTTAGCAGTAGCCTTTGAAGCAAAGGCAAGTTAAATGACCTTTGTAGCAGCTTGGGTATGTGACCATTCTGGTTACTGGGCTCCTCTTTATTCTTCCATTATCTCCACACCATTCCTGGGCACTTAGAGCTCTCAAGGAGAAGAGAGGAAAAAGCAAGAATCACTTGCAAGTTGCCTCACCCTCTTTCATGCTTATGCCAAATAGTGATGGTGAATTGTGGATTGAAAATGAATACCACAGCATCTTCTGGATTTTTTGCACTAGAGATGTGAAGCTGGGTGGTGGCTGTCACTTTCTCAGTCCTGTAGGCAGTCTAAAGCTCTTGATTCAGTCAGAGCAGAGAGCTGGACAAAAGCATTGGAGAAACAGTTTTGGTTATTAAAGAAAACCATACTAATGCTGGATGGAGAGCATTTTTTGTGTGTGAAACCTTTTTAAGAATTTCTAAGTTGGTTCCTTTTCTTTACCATGATGAGACCAAAACCTCTATGACAAGGGAGGAGGAGATCTGGGGTCCTTCCATATAAAGCAAAAAGCAAAACAAATGAACAGCACCAAAAAAATCAGTAATGCCATCAACAGTTGAGAAGCAATATGCAGAGATGAACTGCAGAATCGAGGTTCAAAACTCGCATGTTATCTAGGTCCCCTGTTCTAGATCAGTGTGTTAAACAATTGCATGTTTCAGAAACATCATTTTTCTACTTATATTCCGAGTAATATTCCACCGGTGGATCGATGTTGTCTAACCAGAAACCCCGCACCTTCAAAAACACATTTAAAGACATCCTTACCCAACTTTACCAATCAGACAAATCACAAGTGCTTGAGCAAGGCTGAGGTGTTGTGTAATACTGTGCATAATGTTCTGTGAGTTGCATATATAGAAAGTTATTTCTATGTAGATATTAGCACATGACTTGGTTTCCCTGATATGTTGTGCAGAGTTATGATTTCACATGTAAATTTCTTCATGATAATACAGTACTGATTACAATTTTGCAGTCTCTACTGACGAGCAAGTTCTGTTCAGCAACATCACTGCTCATTGTAGATATAATGGCAGCTGTTACTACTGTTGTTCATGCCTTTGCTTCTTTCCACAATCCTTTCAAAAACCATTGGAAAACTAGCTTTCGGAGTATATTATTTAAGAGGAAGCATTCCCCATTCCTCCTCACTGCTTCTTTTGTTTTCTTTTTCCGTTTTCAGTGATGCCTTTACTTTCTTTTCCACACATCTTGCATCCAACTTTTCCTATTTACATCTCTTTGCCATGGCTAACTCTTCTTCATTTCATGAGGGTAAGGCTTTTTTTTTTCCATTTCTTTTCTATCCTGTCTTTGCTTTAGTTCACAACACATAACAAGCAAATACCAAAAGAAGTATTTTGTAGAACACCAAAGTTTACATGGGTATTACAGATTTTTATTTTAAATTAAGAGTTGAAATTGAGTGTACTGTGACAGAAAACCTTGCACCATAGTATTGAAATGAGAAATCATTATCATTTATTGTACCATAAGAAATTTTAGTGACAAAAGTGACGTGTAATTTACACGTGCTGTTTGTCAATGCTCTGGTTTCATTAATCTGTTCTTGCAGACAGGTTTTGTCATCGCAAAGTTTAATGCCTATATTTCATTGTGCAAAAATATTCAGAACCATGCTAGGATGATTTTATAGTCTGAAAGAGGAAAAAAAGTCACAACAAGCCATAACATAGAAGAGTGCTCAGTGGTGCTCAGTGGAAAGTGCATGGTTGCGTCTCCGAGGACTTGGTCTCCAGTGTTGCCGTGGTTAAATCACAATGGTTACATCTGTTGGCACATCTGTACCAACAACTGTTCTGGATTGGCAGTGGGGTTTTGAGCTGTGTTTAAAGTGCTCCTACAGCAACATAAGCTACACTGACAGTAAGCCCTGTTCTACCAACAGAAGAGCAGTTGTCATGTAGAATTACATTGATTTCAACAGCTTAAATTCATGCCTTATGGCATAACTTGGCCTTCTTTTAGGTTACGTGTTTCTTTTTAATTTCATAAAGAATTCTTGTATATGAGGGCCACTGCAATGACAGAAACATCTAGCACATATAATAGTAAATATAATAGCTTACTGGATCAAAAGCTAAAATTGGTATGAGTTATTTCTGCAAGTCACTATCAGTCTTTTAACTATATATATATACACATATGCGTGCACACTTCAGAATTCTGGAATCCTGAAGCAAGTCTTGTCTATCCAAAACAGGCTTGCTTTGGCATCATCTAATAATTAAAATCATATGGATTTAAGCTAAGCGATTTAAAGAATAAGCCACAAAGAATTAAAAATAATATATCTACTGTGGAAATGCTCAGTTAATCCCCACAAGAAGCAGTTTCTGTGCTTTGCAGAAAGCTGCAAAGAGCCAAGTGAACACATCTTTCCAATATTTTTTCCTGGCTCTTTACACATTTTGCATAGTGTTTGTGAAAGCAGTTAATAATCTTCATCAGTGCTAATGTAAGGCACATATGCCTTCTTTGATTCTTGCTGAAACATCTAATGATGGTATGAATTTTTTTAAGATTTCCCCTGA